TTAGCATGTAAAGAAATCACAGTTTCTTCCTCCACCTTTACCCTCAGATCATTTATGTATAGTTTACCTCCAGGGTGGAAGATTCCCCAAAACAGGCATTTGATGGCAAAATAATGTCCATGCATCTGTGTATACACAGCAAGGGACATGGCTGAGGACTGCTCTAAGGTTCTCTGGCCAAATTTGCGTGTCAGGAGGGTTCCAAACAGACATTGTCCCTCGCCCCAGCCAGGCAACACCTAGGCTGTCAAACCACAGCACTTCAGGGTTCCAGCTGTGCAGATGTTCTTAGAAGAAAAGCTCACTTTGGTCTGCTTCTATCCTTTAGCCTGCACACTTCCCTAAATCCTGCCAGCATGCTTTCTTTTCTTTTTTTTTTTTTTTTTTTTGTAACTGACAGAGAGAACTGAGTTCTTATATAAATCTTTTGTGTGAAGATCAAACTGTGCACATGTAGAACTATATTTTTTTTTAGGGGAAAATCTGCCCTAAAATAATCATTCCATGTTATCCTCACAGAGCATCTGCACTTCCTTTTAAAACGCATCCAAGGCCACCCTCAAGACCAGACCCAGCGCGGTCAGGCAGCGGGCTGCAGCTGAAGCCTCCGTGCGGGTAGGGAGGGCAGAGCATGGGCAGCCCAGGGCAGGACTGGGGTCAGGGGCAATGCAGCTGGAAGGGACCGTAATCTGAGTTGCTCCTTGTAGACAATGTCAGCCTTTGTACTGATAGAAACTTGTGGGGCAACTTGGGAGCCGAGCTGGGTCATGTGAAAAAGGTGTTTCTTTACCTAGCCAGCTTGGACTCCTCAAGCATCCAGCTGGCAGACTCTGAGGTTTCACTCAAATCTTGTTAAGTTAACATTAGTTTACTAATAGACCGAGGAGCAAAGGATCTGGTTGAGAAAACACAGCCTTTCATTCACAAACTCAGAAACCTTTGTAATGGAGAGGAGAATCAGCAAAAATGATCGACTGATAACAGTACTATTGAGAAATTCTTTCTAGAAACAGAAAATAGTAAAGAAGATAGCCCCAAATTGCAATACAACAGCAGTTTTAGGGTCAATTTCAGTGCTGCTTTGTGTTTCACTATTTACAGTTTAATTACCAGCTAGAAAAATGATCAGATATTAGGTATAGTGAAGCCCCCATGTGTGACACAAAGCAGTAGCACAACTCACTGTAGCAGCTTATCTTTGGGAAGCCTCCCTCTCTCTCTTTTTCACTATTTCTCTTCATCTTGCTTACTTCATATAGTCAGAGTTTTACATCCAGCTCTAATTTTCCCAGAAAGGCAGCCCTTAAAAAGCAGCACAAGTTTTTTTACTCAGGACCATAAAAAAGGACTTGCATTCCAGTGCAGCCATCTAATAGACAGATGAACCAATTCCATTAATATAAAAACTTTCTACCTGTGCCCATTCCCCAGAAAAGCTTTTGCCAAAGCTGGAACAAAACCCTAATCTAGTCTTTATTAAAGTGGAGAAAAATCAACTTCCTTTCACTCCCCCATTCAATTTCCACCGCTGTGATTTTCTAAATTTCAGGCAGGCCTGTGACCAAGAGCTACAGGGCCAAAAGTGGCTGGGTGTGCTGTATTCCTGGCCCAAATGGAAGCAGGAAATACTAAACATCTTGCATGGAAGCCTGCTCTCATCAGGTTTATAGCCCAGCTTTTTTCATCAAAAGCAGTGAGGATAGTACGCAGTTCAGAAATGCATCCAAGCATATGGGAGTCTCTCTACACTAATCCTCCTTTTGAGTTTCATCCAGCACTAAATCAGAGCCACACCGGAGAGAGAAATAATGCAATAGCTTGTGGAAAATACATGGCTCCTCTCTGTTAGGGTATGGAAAATCAAATATGATTCGCTTTTCTCCTTAAAAATTGTTGGAGGAATATTAACACCATAAAGCATGACAGAGATTGGAAAAGAACAAAAGTCAGATACCTTTTAAACTTGCCTGCCCTGGGACTATACATCCCTAGGAAGTCTTTGCTGGGACAGCAACAGCAATCTTGGAAGAGTAACAGGATAATGTCACAGGTGAAAAAATTCACCTGAGAGGCTAAGAAAACACCTTTTTGCAGAGTTAACCTGCACTATGATCACTGCATTGCAACTGCAGCCACCACTTTGAGAGGTCCCCTGAGAGCATCACTGCTGGAATTCTGGGGAAGAAGGGCTGCACAGTCTTATTTTCCCAGACAGAATACAGGGCTCTCTGTCTGGGAGAGAGAAAGGGCTTTGCTGAGCTCATCCAAGGACAAGAGGGCCCTATGGCTGCACCAAGGCCCAAAGAGCGTGCTGTCAGTGCTGCCCTGGACATGGGAGCAGAGCGGGCAGAGTGGTGATGCCCACTCTCCACTACAGCCTCTGGTCTCACCTGCTGATAGCAAAAACAGAAAAAAGCAGTAAGAGGAGACCTACACCAGCTTCTCAAGATGCTCTAGCAGAAAACCACAGGTTGACCAGGGCTTGAGCCCTTCATTTCTTTTTCAGTATGTCAAAATTTAAAAAAAAATTCAAAGAAGTACAACCCTGATCCACAGGCTCCGAACACCATTCTCTGGACCTCAGACAGGTGACAGAAATAAAAGTTTTTAACAGAACTTGCTTCAGGAGTGCTGATGTGTTAGGGAGCTGAAAAAGAGCTGTCAGCTGACAAAATTATGTGGGTAGTTAAGGATACAAGTTAGGAAAGGAATTAGCTATGTAATTAGCAGCAGGAAAAATAAATGCAGCTCCAAGCACACAAGCAGGTACACGTGCAGAGCCAACCTGGAACTTGTAAACAGCCTATTGTTTCCATATATAAACATCTTCAAAATAGAATTTTCCTGATCACATTTATTGCCTTTTCCTGATTAAAACTGAGAGAAATCTTTTATTTTTTAAATTTTCTAAAAGAAAGAAATCAGTATTTGACTCCTAGTTCTTGAAAATTATTGACCAGAATCTTGTCTGTCATAACAGCCTTGCTATCATAGAATCATAGTTATCACAGAAGTATAGAATCACAGAATTGTTTGGGTTGGAAGAGACTTCAAAAATCATCTAGTCCAACTGCTTTGCCATGTGCAGGGACAACTTCCACTAGACCAGGTTGCTCAAAGTCCCATCTAACTTGGCCTTAACCAATTCCAGGGATGAGGTATCCACAGCTTCTCTGGACAACCTGTTCCAGTGCCTCACCAGCTTCTTAGTGAAGGATTTCTTCCTAATATCTAATCTAAACATACCCTCTTTCAGTTCAAAACTAAATTGCCATCTACAAAGCAGAGCATCTTTACCGAGGCTTAAGATTTTCTCCCATATGCTGTTTCTTTAGAACAACTTGTCTTCCTCTTTTAGTTTTTTTTCCTTTTTTTTTTTTTCAAAATATGCATCTGGTTTAAGGTGACTTTTTCTTTCCCAGCATATGGAGCAGAATGATTATGATGATTTGGATTTATTTTAAATCACAGTGTATTAAATGGAAAAATAAATGCTAATATGTTGATATTGTTTACTTCTGAATGAATTATTGATATGAATGAGTAGTTGCTTCTATCATAATTACTCTTTATTAAATAAATATATTTTGAATTAGAGATCCTTAATTAAGAAATCACATTTTTGTCGGAAAATTGTTTCCCTGATGCTAGTATAAGAAATATCTTACGTTACTCTATAGAGAAAAAAATAAAAGGCTGGTGAAATTATTCTATTTTTTATCTTTTCCTTTGCTCTGTGAATTTGGCAGTGCTTTGTGCATATTCCCTTTCACTGCTTCTCTCCTCTAATCAGTTAAGTGAGGCTCTTTCCCCTCTGTTGTTTGTGTGGATCTGTCACATAGCACCTAGAGACAGAAAAAACCATTTTAAGTAGGAAAATGCAAAACAAAAAAACTAAAGGCTTGAGGATCAGATACCTGAAACTCCTCTCAACATTTTCTTTCAAGCTGAGCACGTTTCAGATTAATAGTGACTCTTTAACATAAATAATGATCTAATGAAATAAATATGAAATAGAAAGAATCATAAAAAGAATTTTACATTTAAGAATGCCATCTGTGTAACACTTAGCCTAACAATGAAATCATTTCAGTGCCAAAACAGCTCACTCCGCTTCCAGCACAAGTTACAGGAGAGGGTAATGGCTTTGCAAAATGGCATAAAAGTCTGAGCTCAATCACAAAAGGAACACCTGGGTTCAAACTCACTCTGCTTCACACAGACAATGGGTCTCACACGAGTTTTGAGCTCACCCTTGCTAATGTTTCCACCTCGAGTCATCACGAATTTTTCACAAAGCTGACAATTTTTATTGCAAGAGGAGAAGATTTTGCGAGTCAGTGTGAGGAGATCTTGCAACAACTATTATATTGATTCTCTGCTTCCCAGGTGTGGAATCCAGAGTCAGTATTGTCTGACTGAAGTGCACAGGACTCAGAAACAAGACCCTGTTTACCTATATCTGTTGCAAGAAAAATTCCCTCACTTAGGACTTAACACCAGACCAGCCATCAGTGTTTCGGACCAGTGTCCTGAGCTGCAGGTCTGTCTGGGCGCGCGCTGTGTCGCAGAACGGAGATGCTGTTTTTGTGAACAGGGAAGCCAAGCTCTTGCCATGTGCAAGGCGGCGCAGCAGAGCCATGGAGAACACAATGGAGATTGTTTGTTTATACCAGCCAAAGAGAAGGGAACATATTTGTTTTGAGTGAGCTGTGTTAGAATACATATTGTTGTATATGCCCAGGCCTCATTACACCATGCTAGTCTTCAATATGGATCAGATCCTAAAACTGCTTGACATACTGAAATAAATGTGAGTTCTACCCACAGAACATCTCCAGACTTAGGCCTCATGTCTGTCAATGTCATCTCAAAAAAACAAATGTTCAAAGAAGTAAAACAACAAAAGTATCTTTGAGACTGTGGAGGATGCTCACGTGTGGTAGATGCCATTCAAGGGTATGCTAAGGAATTACTTCGAGAGAAAGAAATCCACATACCAAGACGGGAGAAAAGAATAGGCCTGAAAAAAAAAGAGAGCGAATTAAGTTTCATGAAAGAAATATTTCTTATTTATATTTCAGAAGTTACTGTGAAAGCAAAAGGAAATTCTTCCTTCACATCAGCAATGAGGCCACATTAACATCACCTCAGGCAAAGGTGGCCACAGCTGAAATTTTCTTAAAGATATAATCATGAGGGCATTCACAGAGGAACAGTTAAAGTGCTGTTCAGTAAACAACCTGAACTGCTGTATGCTGTATTCATATAAGGAAAGGTATGAGCCAACAGAGAGAGATGTTCAGCTGCAATCAAAGAGGATCTAAGCCTAACTGAGCTCTCACATGACAGTTGGGATCATTTCGGATCCCTTCCAATGAAGATAAAATAGCATCAAAAGCAGAGAGGTTTTTTCTTTCTTTTAAGGATGAAAACACAACATCATTAGTCAAATTTACTCTGAACTTGAACCTCCTCATGTTGATTTGTACTCAGGTTCAGTAAACATATCTTTCCATCAAGGTAAATAAATGTAAAAGCCCATCAGTAAGTTAATTGCTTAACGATGGATGCAGTGTGGGGTGTAACACTGTTTCTGACTACACTGCTGAAGTTAACGACCTCTCAAAAACACCTATTATACAGCTTGGTAGCTAAAAAAAAATCTGTTCCTTCTCGAAAATCTGCTTATAAAATTTCAACCATTTTTTCCTGATGTTGGAGGGGGGGTGGAAACCTCTGAGGACAATTTTCCAGGTGGACTGATGTAAAATGGAGTTTATTCATTTGAGATGCCATCCTTTGTGGGCCTGCATGACCAGGGAGATTAGGCTCAAGAGAAGTGAGGAGTCCACAGTGAGGGCAAAAGTTGAACAGCCTGGGAAAAACATCTCCAAATTAAAATTCCCATGGTTCTAAGTGGGACCATTCACTGGGAGGGGTAGAGGGCTCAGTCTAAAGATGTCAGGCAGAAGCCTGATCCCGCATGCGTGGCACACACCTAGGGACATCTGGGAATGTGCCCTCCTCCCCTGTCTTTGCACACCTAGAGCCCAGGTTTGAGGACCCACGAGAATAAGCAGTTATTCCCATTAAAACTGAGGCATTTAATAGAGGTGAAGGCAAAATCAGCTCTCCAGTGAGAGAACAGTGAGGCAGGAGGGTATGCCAAGCATCTGAGAGTGAAATCTGGCTCATGGTGGGCAGACAGGCACAGTGCAGAAGCACAGCTGCCAGCCTGACATGATGGATCAGAAAAGCTACTAAAGAGCTGTAAGAGTCCAGGCAATTGAAACAAAGCAAAACATGAAAAGGCAATAGGTCAGACCTTCTTTGCAATCTATCAATTAAACAAGCATCCACTTCCAAAGGAGTATGATGTCCTAAGCAGTAGACAGCCCAGCGTGTGATTGCTACTGTGATGGAGGGACAGACTTATCAAAAGGAATTAATAATAATAATTACTAGTAACGCTAATAATTTAGTTGAAGTTGCTCTTTAGTGAACCCCTCTGAGGAAATAACATGGTTGGGCATTTTGGCTTAATTCTATAGTCCCATACCAGTTTTACTCAGCCTGTTGAAAAACAAAGGTGTGTTCAAATATGTCCATTACATGGAAGGTTTTGCCAAGACCTTGCCCTCCTTCAGTTAGGCAGCAGCGGTGAGTGCCACAGAGCTGGCTTCAGCTGCTTTCTGCAAAACCCTGAAGCTTTCAGAAACATTCATTTCTGCTGGCATCACTCAACAGCTCATTGTTAGGGTTTGTTCTCATTGGCATGCATGAACAGAGACTGATGTACAGGGTGACCTAGAGTGACAGCCTTCAGCCCCAAAAAGTGGATACCTGCTTCCCTTAGAGTCCAGCGACTCATACTTGACTCAGAAGGATATATACAAAAATTATCTTTCCTCCCTCATTTGCGTGTGTTAAAGCTAAGTGTGTTCAGCCAAATTAGCAATCAGGCAAACTGTGCATGCAGAAATTTGCACTTGTACAAACTGTGCATTTTTTTTGTAACATTCCAAGATTAAATATCTTGACAAAAGATGAAAACCCTTTAACAAATCTGCCCCTAGAGAAAAGTAACATTTTTTTTATTCCATTTACTGTCAAACGACATATAGTTGAACACAGTCCTATAGGTTGATTTGTTGCTTTAAATAATGTCACTAACATCCAGATATCAATGTGATGGTGCAGAAAAAAAGAGTTCACATTGAGCTAGATTCAATTACAGACCTAGAAATTGAAATTAAGTCTGATGCTACATGCTTAATTTATGTTTGTGTGACTGAGAAAGGGAGTATCTGGTTTACCTTGAATTTCCTGCCTTAGTGTGGTGAAAACATGACCCATCGCATTAATTAAAAAATAGTTTACAAATGTAACTTAAGTGGTATTGCACTGGCGGGAGACAAACGCCTTTTTGTCCTTGACATGTTATGTGATATAAACGAAGCTGTTCAATAGCTTTTTCCTCAATTCCAAGGTAGGTCTTACAATACTCACTAAAGAACAGGATAAAAGGTATGATGACACCTCACAATGAGAAGCCAAAGACTGTGCTTTACTAAAGAAAAAAATGTAAGCATTTATCCCTCAAAACCCATAAACCTCTTCTGACCACACTCTTTAAACAGGTGCCTATAGGTAGCTATCACACATGTTATGCAGGTCTATATTCATCTAATTTGAGCATTATAGCCGGGTTGGTATTTTCACGTTTAATACCCCAAAATACCATATCATAGCAATGGACTTTCAACCAGCACACATTTGACTACTGATTTCACATATGCGGCTGGGACTAACTTTTCTCCTAATATGGTGATGGCACAGGCACTATTTAAATGATTCCTGAGCCTTGTAAATATACACCAGATGTATCTTTTGTAAATGTTACATTTTTCAACATCTCAGCATTTGTGAATAGTTGAAAGCGATGCCAGCCATGCTTTAATGGGGCACAGAAGCACACTGCATTCAAAGAAATAGCACACCATCGCAATAGTCAAAATTACAAGTGCTGTCAAAAAGCTACATTTTTGCTTTATTGATTAGCACCAGGTAACACAGTGCTTCACATCGTACCTTCATACATGCCTCTTTCAGCTGATGATGTTTCCCTGCACGTGGGTAACTCAGAGAGGGATATGGAACTCCCAGGGCTGCACTGGGGAAGGAGAAGGGCAGAGTGGCCCGGAGAGCCACGTTGAGGCCAGAGGTGGAGGCAAAAGAGCTGTGGGAGCTGCCACTCCCACAGCACAGCCACAACCCACTGCCACAGGATGTGCCCACCATCCCAGAGGTGGGGAGGGAACAAAGCTCAGCTTTCCCACAGGTGCTGATGCAGTTTGAAGTTACAATACATTTTCCTGCAGCTCAGGCTTCTGCTGCTTGGTCCTCCCTTGTTGCAGAGGTAAGTCAGCACCAGGGTGAGGTATTTCCCATTAGGGACGTCTCTGTGAGCACAGGGTGAATTATCTGTAAGAAGAAGCCACCTCCTCGGCTTTTCCAGACCTCTCTTTTTCCCTAAGCTTTTCCTGGCTTTCCTGTCTCATTGCAGAAATCTCACAGAAGACCCAGGCCACTCATGTAACAGGTTATGGGAAATGTGCTCTCTGTGCCTTCTACCTCCTGGCACTTGCCCTACCCATCACCACCACATCCAGACTGCCCCCATGGTATCCACATCAGCACCAGGTAGTAAAAGGAGCTGCCAGAAATCAGCCATCACATTTGCCTAAAAATGCAAATTCTTGTAGAATTTTTTCCCCAGCTCTCCCACAGATAAGAGGAAAGACCTTTATAATATTGCACAATTACTATTATTTGCAAGTCAGAGTGCTTTTGCTCAATGAATTTTGTGCTGGAATTGCACTATGCAACTCAGTTCAGCAAATCAGCTAAAATCAGAGCTAGGTGACACAGGACAATAAACTTAGAGGGAATGGACTAGACATAATGCCCCTCTACAAGTATTATTTCCAAGTTTACAGGCTTGCAAATTAAAATGTCCCTGGACCACTGCCATAAAAAAGAACATTAAAAATCAGGGGAAGAGGTCTGGGCATCTGTTAGAAGCATCTAATATATACCAAATGTGTATGCTGAGCTTCTTAGATATATGCATTGCTGAAATATAGCCTACGATTAATGTAAAAGCAGAAATATTTTAATTGTATTTTTCCATTTGATATTCAAATGAAAAAAAATATATCTTATTAAACACAACGCTTGGCTTTGCTATTTTAATAAAAAATAAGTTGTTGAGGAAAAGAAAAGCAAAACTACTGATTCCTTTCCTTATGATGATCAAATGAACCTTTCATGTTTGTATCTTATACTTCACTTTTTAGCATTTTGAGGCAAATAGCAGATATCAAAACTTAGTAAATAATCAAAGACTTACTCAGTTTTCCAAACTGTCATGCTGCTTATCTTGTAATAACTGATCTCTTAGGTAGCATAAGCTATTTAATTGCTACTGAAGATTATTTGAATGAAAAATGAGACGACATTCTCCCTTACCCCTCAAAAAGACAAAACTATATTCTTCAAAAAGACACATGCCGACAGATAGATTCTGATCTCTTCTACACATGCACAAGTGCAGTAGCTAATTTTACAAGATTTGATAGGAGCTGTGTATCTGAGATTACACCCTGTCCTCCAGACTGCACATTCCACATGGAAAATGACTTAATTTGGAAATAAATTTTGTTGCTGATAAATCCAAACTCTCAAGTCTCTGGGCATCCAAAGAACCAAACCTATTAAATTATTATAAAAAACAGCTACTGCATTTTAAAGGGACTTTTTACAGTGTTGGCAAAGTGCGTATTCATGTATCCCCCCTGACATGATAGACTGTAATGGTTCCAGTCTGTCATGTCAACCATCTGCATATTAAACAGTCCCTAAGTACACATTGACACAGCAGACCCTAATAGCTCTGAAGCCGTAACAATCTATTGAGTCAATAATATGCATGTTAAAGAGCATCTCCTGTACTTCCATCAATATCTTTTATCTTTTCCTTAATTTGTATCTTCTTTTTATATGTATATTCAGAGTTAAAGTTTTAGGAACCTTTATCCTTTAATGTGCTGCCACAGATGTGAAACATGTGGCACAGAGAGGCACATGCAGTAGCAAAATCCTTCCCTATTATTGGGGCCAGACCTTAAAATAAGAACTGTAGTATTTTTACACTGACAGCACACATTCTTCCAGACAAGGTGGAAATAGCCCCTCTTTTCTGCTGGGCTGGACGCAGTGGTAGTGAAAAGCCCGGGAAAGGCTCCTGATGATTTCATGGGCTTTGGATGGAGCCCAGTATGATGATACTCATTTCCTATTATGCATTTCCTTCTAATTAAATGAAATAGGTCACAGGGGGGAAATGAAACAAAAGACAAATGTATTTACTTACAGTAATATCAACCCCAAAAACGGCAATCAAAAACAAGAGAAAAGATAACACAAAACATACTGTCTCTTCATTAACTTGAAATCATGTCTGTTACCACAGTCTTAATTCATTCCTGAGTGATCTTGGGATCTTTTATACCATGGAAGAGGGGGACTGTTATTTAAGCATAGGAAAATGGAGATTTAACTTCTTTTGTCTAAATAACCAGAGAGAAAAATTCTAATTTTATTTTGCTTAACTTCACCATACCCTGCTGTTATCCTTTCGCTCCCTGGTTACAGGACTTTCCCATCTTCTTCCAAACTTCTTGGTCTCTGCAAGCATCACAGTCTGGCTTACACATTTAAAAGTGAAACCAAAGTGCAATTTGTGTTTCCAAAATGTAGACCTAAGGACAGGGAGGTCACCTGACCCTATCAGCAGATCTTAGTTGTCCTAAATTCCCTTCTCCTTTCCATTAATTTGATACCGATGTATCTTTGATGCACATAGGGATTTATTCCAGCATATTCTTGATTAACTTTCGCTCCAGCGAGGGCAGAATCATGGTACTCTCCCTCTTCTTTCCAGGAGTGTGCAGTTCATCCTACCCCTGCCTTGCACCATTCCATGTCCCCAAGGCACACCAGAACAGATCATCTATTTCTGTGCCTTATTCTGTACGTCATCCCCAAACTGCATGACAAGCACTGAAGGCACCTGCCTTCTATTAAGTCCTTGGTAACATCTCGTGGCCAGCACGCTTTTCTTCCCAATGTAATGGCAGGGAAGTGGATCGGATGTTCACATGCATGCCCAGGGATTTGCCCAGCCATGAGGCAGGTCCTCAAAACCTCAGACTAGTGCATAAAATTCGTCTTATATGTGTTGTCTACTATTTATCTTATCAGGATAGGACTTTCTAAACTATGAATAACACAGTACTCAAAAAGCTACAGTAGTCATCATTTGACCTTTTTCACTGAAGATTTAGAAAGCAGATTTAATTTTGGGCAGGATATGTTTTTCTTCCAAAAGAAACAAAAAGCTAAAAAAAAACCAAAAAAAAAAAAAAAACTAAGCAAATAAACAAGACCTACAGAATGGGTACCATTAAAAAAAAAAAATTAAAAAGCAAAAGTCACTGAAAGTCCTGCTATGCTGCCTCTATTTCCTTTAGCTGAGGGAGGCAACCCCAGCGTAGCTCTGGAAGTTCTTGTTCCTGACAGAAATAGTTCATTGTCAAGTCCTCTCTGTGATGCTGCAGTTCATCACCAAATTATACATGAAGCACAGTCCTCTCTCTATAATATCATGGGTACAGCCATGTGCATTTGAGGAAAATAGGTCCTCTCTGGATCTGCTGCAGGATTTCTCTTGCTGTTCACTCTGGTACTTGCTGTGTGGCAGCCCCAACACGTCCAGCTCTGGTGAAGGTAGGAACATCACACAGCAACCACACAGCAGGTCTGAATAATTTATGATATCCCTTCCGCCTCTGGCACTTCTGTTTTTGTCTGATGAGCCTCATAGGTTTCTCAGAACTTAACAGAATTACCAGGCAATGGCAAAGAAGGACAGGAGGGCTGCTGGCCACGCAGCCAGAGTCCTTTAACAAAAATCCTCTGCACCAAGGGTTACTGGTGGGTCACACTCACTCTGGGTGGACAGTGCTTCTGGGAATTGTTCCACTGATTTAAGTGGATAGGTTGCCCAGTCCAACTTCATGGACTTAGAGCAACCGATACCTGCCACCAAGCGAAAGAAGAGCCACCAGCCTTGGCCTGTAAATGAGATCGGTAAGGGAGATGAAGGGAAGTGAAAGAAACATAATGCTTTAGGTGAAGCGCTCCATGCTCCCCCAGCAACCTTCTTGTGTGTGCTGTGAATGTAAGGTGGGCTCACTTCCTGCTGCCTTGTCCCCCTCCTGCACAGCCTGTTCCATGCCCAGCTGCAGCTGAGCCTACCCCGGGCTGGCCTGACCCTGAATGGAAAAATTCCCAGTTATTTCAGTGAAAAGGTCTCTGTGTCCTCAGACAAATGCAGGAGAGCAAAATTTGGGTAAGGGCTATGATTTCACTGCCTGTGTGCATAGGATGTCTCCTTTCCTACACAGAGGAACGCTGGCCACCCTTCCCACTTTTTTGGTTCTCAGTGTTCATCACTGCACCTGGAGTTATCTCCCATTTACCAAGGAGTTGATTTAAGTGTCTGACTCAGTCACATATGTTTGGCTCCCTTATTCAGAGCAAGATTTGGCCTACTAGCTGTGAAAACAGCTTATATCACATGTGCTGCAAAGCCTAGCCAGAACAGGCTGAATAAAGGATGAAGTTTAATCATGGAAATGTTGACCTACAAATAGAGAACAAAATGTTAAACCACATGGTATAGGGTGCTGCACGCCCCAAATATCAAGGAGAGAAAAGAAGAATTGAACACATTTGGAAAGTAAAGCTTACTGTTTGGGGTTTAGTTGGGTTTTTTTTTTTACTTTTTCTTTCTGCATATTCGGAGAGTCAGACCCACACTGTTCCTGCTCGCGATGACACCCTGGCATCCGAAGAGCAACATAACACCCACCACAAAATGCTGCTGTTGGCTGGCGCCGTCTAAAGCAGCAAGGTTTGGTGAGGGAGGTGAGACTGCCAAAGGAGGGTGAGTGGGGGTGTCACAGAGAGTGGGACCCTGCCACCAGTGTGACTCCAGTCTACGGGACCTGAACAAACTGGGGAGAGGTAAATGTGATGAGGATTAAGAACCCTTTCATCCTGTGTCCCTGAAAACTAGTCCTGAGTTACCTCTTACAGATAGGGGGTGGGGGGATGTTTTCATTATTTACACACCACCTTTCAGCTGGAACATCCTCACCTTTGTGTGTTTCACACAAAGAAGGGCAGTGTTTTTGTCAGAGAGTCCACTTCCATTTTTAATCACAACCATCACACAAACAATTCATCTAATAGGATGGGAAAACTTTATCATATGCTTTATTTAACATAATTTTGGGTGTTGCAAAGGACAAAGAACAATTTTTTTAATCAGTCATCTTGCTTTCAATAACTCATCGGCTTTGTCTTTAGGTACACTACATTTTACACAAACGTAGCTAACAGCAGCCGGCCAGGCCTCACTGACTGACAACTGTTCTTTACAGGATTTCTATGTGCCAAGGAGCTGGACAGTAATATCCATTTGGTATTCATGGAAGGTACTTGCAGAACAATAATGACAATAATTGCTTCTGATTCTTGTGTTTACAACACTGCCAAAGTATCATTAGAGCCTTATTTATAGATAATAATGCTTATTAATCACACATATTTGAATTTTGGAATGTATTAGATTAATATTCTTTTGTAACTTTGTTCTGTACTAATGCTATGAAAAGCACTTTCTGAATGCAGCCCACTGGGAAGTGCTTGCCTCGGTAAAGTAAAAGCATCCAAGCCATCTGCAGGTGAGGGACAAAGGGCATACCTCTTCCTCAGCAGGCAAACACCAAAGCCGGACACGCCAGTTCCAAAAGCAGCTCCTTTGGATTAAAATCAGGGGCAGACGCCTGAAAAAAATACCGCAAAAGATGAGACAGTAGTGTTGTTCTTGAGCTTGCTTTTTGATGCTCTATGAAAAGGTTTGTTTTCTACTGCTTTATAAAGAAACTGTGTTTGGAGGTGAGGAATAGATCCATCTATCACCTCACTCTCTAACAACCCATTCTACCCCATGGGTGAGTTTAGCCTGGACCTTAGAATTCCTTATCAGTCAAGAGGCTGGCAATGAGAAATATAAGAAATATATTACAAAAAACACTCCTAATTTTGGTTATTAAATAATTCCAGCTTTTCTACAATTCAATAGCATGATAGAAGGAAAATAGATTTTTTTAAAAAGACATTTTCAACACATGAAAGTGCCACCCAAATCTAAATACCAACTGCCCTGTATTCATATCCTCCTTTGTTTCCCTGTAGCCCATTACAATGGTGAAAAATACACCAAAGCAACTACAGTACTAAACTCTCCAATTTTTAGTGTGTGTGACCGGCTCCATAAATTTGTGTTTAAATAAATAAAGTCCAGAACAGTGTACAATGTTTTATTGTTAATATTATTTTAAGGTAGTTATTCAAGTAAATTAGCAGAGACTGTCGGTTTAGAGATAGCATTTCCATCTGTTTGGTTGGGTTTTTTCCTTTTTATCCACCGCTGATGTAGTGTAACTACTCTAACACCAGAAAGTAAAAAAACTGGGAAGCAGGGCAGTGGGCGTTGTATTTTATTCTGTGTGTCCATTTTGTGCTTTTTATGGTGCTCCCTGCACAGTGAGGATAACCTGTTGCTAACTGTCGCAGCCCTATTGTCTCCAGCAATCTTTTACAGTGGCAGAAAAAAAAAGAAATAATTAAAATGCAGAAGCTTTAAATTGTGAAGAACACTTGCGGCTTTGCTGCAACTCCACCAGGCTGCCCTTGGCCGATGTTTTAACAGACAAAATTACAAAGAGATGTTGTCCCTTTAAAATGTTTCATCTATTAATATTCCAGTGTGTTTTGCTTACTGTGTTCAGAAAATACCAGTATTGAGGTTTCCCAGGAATTTCAAACCTATCAAGACAGCGCTGAGCACAGTCCAATAGTTTCCAATTGAAGCCAGGATTTAAAACTTTAAAAACCCGAATAGAAAGATTGGAGATGAAACCAAGGCGCAAAGTTGGTGTCGGGATGCGGAGGGAAGCCCTGTCCCTACAGGCTCCACACAACAAAGCAGTTCACCCCTCCCATCCCAGAGACCACAGCTCCTGCTGGGGGCTGTGGGGCCAGCTAGTCCTGGGCATTGCTGGGAGGAGGGTCCCAGCTTCAACCATCACTTGCAGACAAAGGAATTATTCCCCAAGTGTGGGCACAGGGAGTGCGCAGATCTTTGGATTGGGTTCCTTTTCCAGTTACAGCTGAATACCATCCAGCCAAAACTGATCCTAAAACTTGACAGTGCTACACTGAGGGGAATTAGATCAATAACTAGTCATGGATTTTGGTTCTTCTGCTAGTCCTCTTCCAAAAAGAAAACCCGTAGACTCAGGTGCACACAATCTGCTACAGCATTCACTGGCACAGAAGCATGTGCAGATACTCTCCTCACCCCAGCTATTAGTGGCTCCCTGAAAAGTTTGCTATATTTTCCTTAGGTTTCAGAGTGTCACAGTGCAAAAAAGCTGTCTCTCTAACAGGTGTTTGAAACCTGCATCTTATTCTTTCCTAATAGTAATAAAAATAGCTGGAAGAGTTCAGTACAAGGATCCTAATTTCAGAGAGGCAAATCAGCAGTGTATAAAATCATAATTCACTCTCTGCAGATTAGAGATTTCTTATTTTCTTAACTGAATAGTGAACAATAATTTCTATTGTTTCTGTCTGAGTTTTTTTTCCAGGGCAGTAGTGGTTCAATATTTTTTTTCTACCTCTTAGAAGAAAAAGGCCAGGCAAACAGTTATCACACGAGGAAAGGTACATTTGCATTTTATATATGTATAAACCCACACAAAGATAAAAACAGACATTTCCAGCTATAGAATTTTACTATTTATTATAGCCAGAGATACACAAGTCAAATTTCCATGACACACTTGACTTTCAAAAGAAAAATTTGCACTTTCTTTTAATACTGAGTTTCACAGTTGTCACTGAAGTCAAATGAAGGAGCAAATGCCCTTGAAAAATAATCACTTTCCTACAGTATCCCTTTTCTGCACCTGTTGGAATCCCTAGTATGAAAAAATTGTCTTTCTTGCACAAAATAAGTAGATGAACCTACAAACATTGCTCACATGCACCAGAAATTTCAGCATGAGACAGGGTATGCAAAATCAAGTCTCGAGCAAAATCCAAGCCAACAAGCAGCAAAATCACCCTCCTAACATCAAGTGCATTTACTACAAGTTGCATTTTTGGATTTGTAGATATGGGATAGGAAAATCAAGACAGAAGAGTTTTGACTGGCTTGTTCACTAACCATATCTCAGTGGTCACAAATGATTAAAAAGGAAAATTCAACTGGAAATTTCTAAACATAGAGGAAGTTTCATAAGTGTCTTTTTGTAGTATCATTTTGTTTGCTGTATTTCTCTCTGGGACAATATTACTCTGCTTGTATTAATACAAGCAGAGTAATATTGGGTTTATTGTCAAATAATTATTCTTTCTGTTATCGGATTGCATGATTATTGTGTATTTCTCCCTCCAGATATGTATCATGAACGCTTTTCTTCTTTAGCTTTATATCATATAAAACAACTAAGGTCTGGAACTTGTAGTCTCCCATCGCCTTCATAGAACTGTAAGACACAAGCAGGAATAAAAATAAAAACATACCTTTTCATCAAGTAGTCTGCTAACCAAAAGGAGAAAAATAAGCTTTGTGTATTTCTAAATAGTCCTCTAGGAGTCTTGTACTACATGCTATATATTGTATGGTTTCTCCCCCTGTTATGACATCTCTGATTACTTTTAAAAAAACTCTCAAAAATGTTGAGGCACAAACCTTTGTACGGAATACTTTTAGTACGCTTTTTATTCTGACAAGATTAATAATTATCCTATAAGCATGACACAGTGTTTTAAAATGTTTTTTTCAGCTATGAGTTAGGATTGTGCACATAAATGAGAAAAGAAAGGTTATTTCACAGCAGAGAAATGCATATTTAAACAAACTGTGATTAAATGGCAAAGCTGCTTTAAAAGGAAAAGCATGTTTTTTTCCCTCACCACAGTTATTCTGAATTTCAAATACCCATAGTAAGTTTCCAAAGGACACTGGGCATTTGTAATGAAAACACGAGCTACTGAAATTAATGAGAGATAATTGAGAGAACCATAGCAAATGTCCCAGAGCTTTGGCCAAAACTGGACAGAAAAAGATCCGCTCGTGTAGCAAGTGAGAACTGTGTCCCCTCACCACCATCACCACCCTGTCTTCTTCTGTGGCACCTGAACTAGCTCATAGTGGGAGCAACTGGATATGTGGGAACCAGCCTACAGACTAACCAGGCTTTTGTTGTCCTTCAACAAGACACCTCACAAGTACTGACAGTCCTCACGGCAGCCTTACATCTTTCCCCAAACACACAACTGCCCTTTTCGCTCAGCTCATACACATCCAGCACTTCCCACCGATGCAGACACAGGTATGGGGCTTTCTTGGTCATTCAAAATGCCCAGTAACGTGTGTCCTACTTCTCAGCATGTAGTGACCACAATTATTGCTGGCCTGATTCACTAGTGAAAGTGTGTAGGATGTAACCCTTAGACAGCTGAGGTGGAAGGGCAAGATCAATGTGGCCCTCACATCCTAACTCCATTCACGTCAAATAGATGCAACAATAATCTCTCCATTGACATTAAGGTCTAATGGAAATACTTCAGGGAGTGAATGAGAGCTAGATCCTGCTCATTCCAATCAAACAAAACTCCACGTGGCTTCAGTGAATGGAACAAGCAAGATTTGGCCCATCTTGAGCAGCACAGGTTTGGTTTCCAGATGCTGAGCTGTACACACTCATTGGAGAAGGACAGTGAAAAACTGGAGCCAATAGATCTTGAACTAAGGAGACAACCAAGGGTAACACTTTGTCTGCATTTAAATGGATGGCAGGGCAAGCAGCTGCACCCAATTTGCCCCTGAGCTTTAGTGCTGGGCTTCAACCATGGTACAGTCTTTCTCTTAACTTTACTTGAAGGAGTAATTTTAAAATAATTTAATGCCAAGTGCCAGAGGGCTCACTTTTTCACAACATTAAACTGAATCATATCAACTCCCATTCTAAATATAAAATATGATTGCATTACTTGACTTCACACTTTTTATAAAGGTCCCACTGTGGTGGGGTTTCACAAGGTATAAAAGCCTATGCAGGTATTATGGGCCATATAAGTCCATTTCATCCAATTAATCATCTACTTAAAAATGTTTTTCTTGTATTGTAGTAGAAAGAATAAAATAAGTGTTCGTTTTTATAATTTCCAAAATTAAATTCATATTCCATACTGACCATATTTCATGTGTAAAATAACAAGATATGCTTACATACCTGACTTTCCTTCTTTAGTGAGTTGCTTCATTTGTAAAGCATTGCATACAAGATTAGAACCTAAAATGAATGACTTGGTTTTTCTTGATATCAAATCTTGTTTAAGTTCACAGCAATTTTAAATATGATACATTTAAAATATTAATATTTCCCATATATTATTCACTGACTTTCAGGTTTCATCTCAAGTTAGTGGCACTTCATATTTCAAAGGAAGAACTGTTTCTTTTTTTCAGTACTAATGTTCTATTAATTCACTTTGTAATATCATTCTGGTTCAGACAAATAAAATTGCACTAAATTGCTTATGCCAAGAATCATGCTAAAGTTGTTGGCACTGTATAAAATTCCATATTCCATTACTATTTTATAAGTTTTTCATATCAGTGGCATCTTTTAAGGCATAATTCGTAGTCCCATTTAGTTAGTTCTAGAAGGGAAATTACATACAGAAGGATTTTTATGCTGAGATGGGG